AGGACACTTAAGAGCATATAATTCCTGAAAATTCAAAAATTTCTAATATTAGAGCTTTCTGATGGTTTGCCATCAGAAACTGAACTGTAACTAAAAAATTAAATATTAAATCTGTTTACTTCACATGAGTGATATTGATTTATTAATGTAATATAACATTCTACAGTATGTTCTTACTGCTGGTAGCATCCACCAGAAAAATGAAACGTTCTATAAATTTATTTCAATAATTTGCTTACACTGAATGTAGTCCTGTGATATTTTATTCTTCCTACAAGTGGAAGAGATTGTATTAGTCTAACCAGTTTCTTTCTCCTGTTTTTCACTTTTTGTCTCCCCTTCTACCTAGTGACTTAAATAATCCCTGTACCCTAACTTCAGCATTGTAACGATAAGGTATTATCATTTTCTTTTTTCTAGTGGAAGTGAAACTTTTTTTTTGTCTTAGCACTACTTTCTAAGCACACCAAAAAAGTTCAATTGAAATTTTAAACTCTTCAGAACAAAGGCTTAGGTTCTGGAAAACACACCCACTGGGCCAATACCCGGTTTGTAGACATCTTAATGCCAGCTTTCATGCTATTGCTGTGCTTCTACCACCAACTATGTGTGCCTCATTAATTTCACAAATGAGTTATTTTACCCAGAAAAATGCAACATAAATGGATAAAGTGAAGTTACTATGAACTAAATCTTGTACGATATTGTGGATATTTTGAAGATAAGCTTAAAAGTTTTTGCCACCTCTTGGTTAGAAACTTTACCTCAGTTGCCTGTCATTCCTGTCTGATGAAGTTCAGTTGTTTCTTTGCTGTCAAGTGCTGGCTCCAAGGTAAAAAGCATAAATGTGTAACTGTTGCAGTGTTTTTCACAGAAATTATGGAAGAGGAAAGGGAAAAGAAATATTATTGCCCTCACTATAGAAAAATCTGCCACAGAGAAAGCAATGAACAAGTGACAAATACTGAGTTGTGAGGATAAATCCCCAAAAATTCTATTAAGATGTATCACAGAAGCTGCTAACTCAAATAGATATATTTTTTATTATTCTTTTGTTAAAAAGACCTAAAATGTCTGACTTCCACTGTACTAAAGGCATTAAAAAATTTGCCTTTGAATTTCCTGATAATTGCAGCACATGAATTAGGGATGTATTGGCAACAAGTGGTTCTTTACAGAACACATGGTTTTGGATTATTTTCTTAGACTCTTCCAGAGTATAATTTCTTTAAAAGCTATGTGACCAATTGGATACCATCATCCTAAAATTCTGTAAGAAAAAGAGATGTAAAGGGCTAGAAATCAGTATCAATTACCAGCTAACTTAATACAATTTGAAAGTTCATGGAAAGGCAAATAGTTCACAGCTGAATTGAACAACTGAATTGAAAATTCCTACTTGGAGCATTAGCAGGAAAAGAAGCAGTAGCTTGTTCCCTTTTTAAATGACTTTTGCCAGCCATCCAAATTGGCAACAAAAAGATGTAGAACCTCATCAGTTCATAGAGGAATTAGAGTTTCCAAGCCCAGGTTCAATTTAGCATATTCAGATTTCAGCACATTAACTTCAGTAGTATCAGGATTGCTTAGACGAAAAGTTCAGGTTTAATATAACCCTTCTGGTTATTGAGGGTGCTGATAAAACTGGTGAATTTTTAACACAGATGCAATTCAAGTGACTGAAGTTGGAGAGAAATCCATCTCGAGAAATGAATGATCCTTATAGATTCATCACCTCATCAATTACAGTGTGATATTAAGTCACTTCCAACAGTGCATTTATATAGTATGCATTTTGGTTGCACATCAGCATACAACCCCATTCATGTTGTGTAATGTATTTCACCTTATATGAAATATGAGCTTCTTGGGACCAAAAGAAATTAAAATTAGCAGTACCACTCTCAATATCCTTAAAACACTAGAGGATGCTTCTGCTAACCTCCTGAAAATGAAGAAAATTAGTGCATATCTGAGGTTTGTCTGTGAAAGATAATCTGAAATGAAGTAAACTACATCAGTCAGCACATGGACTTTTTTAATCTCTTCTTCATAGTCAATATATAATTTCTATATCTCTGCATAAAAATTTTAACTGTCTTTTTGCATAACAATATGAGTTCTAGCTTGTATTGTAAAATGATTAGTAGTATAACCAATGCAGGAAAACTGTGTTTGCTTGCAAACACCATCTGCCAGACTCCATTCAGTCAGCAACACTGCCTTTCAAAAATGGTGATCATGTTAAGGCATTTTATATTAGCTTCTATTTCTGCATTTCTGTTATATCCTTGGTAGACACAGGCTATATTGCTGATCCTGCAATTCAGTTGCATCATGTTTGTGTAAGATATGGACATGTTGGATCATGAGAGAAGAGTTTTTTGACAATATCCTTAGAAAAAATGAATTGATTATAGGTTCAACAAGCTATTTTGGAGTCAGGACCCATATTCACACCGGTTAGATACATGTGGCAACATAGGAATTGTTATTCACATTTTTGGGGTTTGAACCATCAGATAATATTTTTCAGCCAGTTTGTGTATGAAAAAGTAAAATAATTCAGATTTTCTGACTCAGACTAGTATACCACCTTTTTTTTTTTTTTGGTCAAAAATGTCCAGGCATTTCTTTGAGAGATTTATTCAGAGAAACTCGCTTTGGCCTCTCAAAGACACAAATGACAGGTTATCAGGATATATATCTATCTCCTTAGATATCAAGTATGAACTCACCACCCTAGGGTCCTTTACTAGTCAAAGGAAAGTCAGACATGTCCTGAGGGAATTGATTTCATTACAAAATGGACGTCAACAATAAATAATAAGATTCACTCTGGATTTTCTGCTTTAAGACATCTGAAGTTAGGCAAGAGAAATCTCACCAAATTCTACAGAGCCCAGATTTGATACAAGGGTAAAAAAAGTGCTTTCATTAACAATCTAGTTGTTATAGTCCTTTTTTCTGATTCTTTTTCCTTTTTTTTTTTTTTTTTACAAAAGGTGGATAGATATGAGAAACATGATGTAAGTCAATATTTCTATGAGCTGCATGGTATTTTAATTAAACAAATTATTTTCTGTAACCTCTAGATAGGAATGAGAAGTTAATTGAAACTAAAAATTGGCCAATTTATCCAAAGAATTAGAAAAAAAAATCCTTAGCTCTCTTTGTTTCTTTGGCTCTGGATGACACAGTAAGGGAGAATGACTGTGAGTAAATGCCTCTCTCAGATAGGAAAAATGCTAACATCAACAGTATGTGCATGTCAATAGCCATCTTGTAAAGAAAAAAATACAGGGACCTCTAATCACATCTAATCATTCTTCTGTGCAACAGTTTGGGTTTTTTCCCTCTCTGTGTTCCTAGGGTTTCTTATATTCACTTATCACTTGTGCTGTCAAATAACTAATTCTTTCTGGCAACTGACAATTTAAAAGAAAAGTATATTACAGGAAGGAGAGTGTCATCGTTTTCCATAAATTTGTAAGAGTTATGAACAAATAGAACAATTCTAAAATTTGACACATGGATAATTATCATAAGCCATAACTCTCATGACTGCTTAACAGGATGTCTTTGGGATAAAAAGTAAGTACAAAGACTGGCATAACAGATACATAATTTAGACTATTTACCTCTTAGAAAACATTGGATAATTTCTTTTTCTATTTTATGGAAACCAGTGTAGAATTATAAACTGTACTCAGAAAAAAATTCATGTAATAACATTGCAACGCCAAAATACAAGTTATGCTAAGTAACCATAATTATAGTCTCATCAGAGCTGAAATGTTTCAAAACACCTGTAAAATTTGCTTGCCTCTGCCTACCATTACAAGCAAATAAATCCACTGATTTAAGTAGCAAGAACCATTAGTAGACTGAAGTAAAGATGGCAAGAGAAAAAAACCCAGAACCCTCAGTTGTCAGGGTGCCTAGTGAGACAATAAAGGCTCCACATAGCAACAGCATTTTAAGTATGAATAAATAGCCATAAAGTTCGCTGGTACTGCATGGAAGCTTGCAGATGGCAGATGAATTCATGTCTGTCATGTTTTTATAATACAATGACTTTTACATATTGCTGCCAGATGGAACACAATTTTGCATCTTGATTATAAATCTCAAAAAAATACAGCTTCCTTCAATGTGTTCCCTATATTTGAAACAAAAGAAAATTCAGAGACAGATTCGTGAAGCTAAAGCAGATTTAAGGAAATATAAATTAAATCCTCAAGGGCTTCCTTGCTGTAACTCAATTCAAAATAATGGAGTTCCCCATGTGTTCTCCGTTTTTTAGGAAAACCACAGAAGGTATCATATGGATTTCTATACAGGGAGAACTACATGTTCATTTTTAAATGTAAACACATTCCAGGCAGGTCCAGAAGACCTCTTAATTGAACTGAGTATTTGGAAAAACTTTTACAGAACATTTATTTCTGCTTCAACAAAAAGTGGTATCTATCCCACAAGCTCAGATGGTAAGAGTGTCGTGCATGAAACATAAATGCATTTAATCATTGCTGATAACAAATATCTGTATCTACACCACAGAAGCACCTCGCCTTTCCCATCCTGATAAACAATACCTAGACAGACCTAAAATCTAATTCAGATCTGGTTATACCAGTTTCTGTAGACACGCACTATGAAGAAAGTACAGAATTTTTGTATTTTCTATGTGTTCTTGTACCACACCTGGCTTCCTCTTCTGTGTCTGGTCTTTGCTTCTAATCCTAATTGGTATTGCTATGAAGCGAATAGCTCTGATAGCAACAAAGTGAATTATATGACTGTAGGGAAGAATATTTTCCTATTCAATGGTTTCTCACAGAGTCTGATTTGACAACAAACTTGAGTTGACTTCTCTCAGACAGCCTCAAGCATTGTTTATATGCAGATAATTCTGTGTGTGAACCCATTAGGCTTTTATGACAGTTATAATCAAATATGATTAGGAAACCTTCTGGCTTACTTGGATCCATACTTACATTGTGCTTTGTGAGGTTGGAAATGTTACTTGCTATTGCTTGTAGCCAGTCAATACAGTCTTCAGCAGAAAGACACTGAATTATTCCACTGCAAACCCCATCCACAGCAATTACTTGGAACGCATTTTGCCTATAGACATATCATAACAGATCAGGTCAGAAGAAAATTTTATCTTTTCTAGCATATCATCTTAACAATACTTGTAAAAATGTTTTCCTTTCAACTACAATGAAGGTCAGCCAGTGAATACTGACAAAATGCTGGTTTTCCTGTTTTATAAATACCTGACATATTAAAACAATCATGCTGAAAGGTCAACTCAGACAACATTAAGCTTCCATAAGGCTATAAAAAAGTTCAATAGACCAGCTCCACAGACTTGACCAGCAGGCTGTACAACCTCAGAAACTGAACAAGTGATAGAGTTAATGCTTTTCTAAGACTTAACACTTTAATACGGCAGGCTACAGAGAAGGAAAGTGCATTAGAAACCATAGGCAATAATTTGGCAAATTCAGTGAACACCAGTATATTTTCTCAACACCTTTGTTTTATTTTTATAATACAGTGTCTAAACACTTTTGGATTACTGTCTGGAGGCCCCTTGTTGGCTGCTCAAGCTTATAGAATTGTGTTTCTCTTCTAAACTACTGATTGAAAACTTGGAGAAGTCAAAATTGATCAAGTAGCATTAATGATCTTTCCAATTGCATTTCCGAATATAGGATCATTACCAAAATACACTCCTACCTCTGCCTCTACACCCAGCACCAATCTGGGCACATGTACAAAAATCTATCATGCATTATATACTGATTTTCCACTTCCAGACACTGAGCAATTCTAGAACAAGAGAAATTTTTTCAGATGCCAAAGGAGTAACAGACCTAATTTCTTCAGTAAATTGCTTTATTTTTTAAAAGCTCTTGTAAGGCTCACAGGTCTCTGTCTTCAAAACTGAAAAACCTCAATAAGAATCCATATCCCACAACAGGAGATTACTGAATGTACAGAGAACACCAATTTCCACTGCTGACATTCTGCTACAAGCCCAACTGTTAATGATCAATTAATAGTTAAGATTAAGTCCATCATTCAGATTCTTTGAGAATGGCTCAAGCAAAGTGCCTGTTATCTCCAGGGTAAAACTGAGTGTCACTAATGACAACTTCTGGCACCTGAAGACAGATAACAGTTTTGAAAAGCTGCTTGTTTGGGGTCTTTAACCTCTTAAAATTTTATTCTAGTTGTATTAAATGTAAGGCTAATATTTGTCTCCACTCCATCCATGTTGAGAACAGATTGCTTCTTCACTCAGGAGAAGCAATAGAAATTAACTAGAGCCATGCCTTTTCTTTGAGTGTTCCAGCATGAGAGCCAGCTTTTGCAGGATAATGAGGCTTATATTGACATGATCTTCCAGAGTTCTTTGGTTTATTTAAATCCAGCAGTTTAGTTGTCTTTCTCAGGTGTAGTGATTTTTCTATAAATTCACAAAAAAAACCAACTAATACAGGCTTCTTTCAGACTCATTTTCACAATAATTCTAGTAAAATTTTGAGCAAGGTATATTAAAAGAAACTTCAGGTAGTGTTGCTAGCCTTTATTTACTCTATCCTTTATTTTAGATGGCTGTAAACAGAAATAGCCAATTTTTCTAGACAAAATTTCTAAATCCTCACAAAAACCCCAATATGTTCCAGATTCGATCCGGATCCACATATTTCCCTTGGACTACAAACACAATTAATCTGGTCCATTTGGGGCATCAGATTGTTCCTACCATTCCTAGGAATTTGATCTGTGCAAGTTTGAACTTACAGTTTGTATGGATCATTCATCCATAATGTTATTACCCAAATACCAACTCTAAATTATTCAAATATCAATAGTATGATACAGGTCAACTAATAAATTACTTGTGGATGTGCCTTGGCAGTAGATAGCCTTAGATTATTTGAATAGTATTTTCTCAAATAAGTATACCAGCCCAAGTCCATAATAACGTGCAAACCTGAAAATATAATATATTAAATAGATGTTTTGTACTAAATGGAACAGATAGTAGAATAATCCCTTTATAATATACCAAAAAATTGAGAATGGATAAACACTTATTCAACTACACGTTTCAGGTTCTGGGCCTTCTAGAACACAAAATCTATATTTGAAATAATTAAGCTTTGCAAGACTAACCTGAATGTCTTCTAGAATTCTGTATGAATACTCTCCAGAATTTATGTGTCTCAACCACTCCACTGGAAAAACTAGAACATGACTATGGTGTTTAATATTGTATGTGAGAACAATATATTTCCATATCAAATTCTGAATTATAAAAAGTTATTAGGCTTTACATAGTGAAAACAGCCTTGTAAATACTATGGAAAATGTAATGCATTAATTTTCATTTCATGTTGCTTCCTTATATTATTTTTAATATCCTTTCTTTTGTGTTGATGTTTCCAGCAGTCCCTTAAAAAAGTATCTACCTTTCTCTCATTCTGAGAGGGAGTAACATTTAAAAATGTTTCCAGTAATTTAAAATAGTCATATAAACTGTCTTGCTAGCAACATAAAATGTTGGTTCTATGCTTTAAGAAAAACTCTCTCATATGCATCCTGCATTTTTGGGGTTTTTTAAGACTTATTTCTTCATGTTAGACAGAATAGAAGGACACAAGGAAAAAAATATTAGAGTAGTTTTTCAAGGTTTGAGTACAAGTTCAGGCATTTTGTTTCATATTAATATACCTTTATTTTCTAGAAGTTCAGATCTCAGGTATACCATTACTACCTAAGTCACTCCCTTTTTTTTGTAGAAGTTCTATAACATAAATCTTAAGCTTGTTTTTTATTGATGCAAAGACTGAATTTTAAAACCCTAGATCTATGAACAGCTGCTTATATGCTAATTTTCCACGTGAGTAATTCCATTCAATTCAATACCTTATCTGAAGTACACAGTAGAATAGATCTCAGATTTTACGTTATGCTTTTGGATGCTTTATGCTTCATTGTTTAATATGGAGCTGAAAGCTTTCACAGAATTTAGTAGAACACCTCCTGCCTCTCTGGTGACTTGATCCTGCTCCAGTTCAGTTCAGCCAAGAAGCCTTTGTAGCCTTTGGTGTCCACCTTGCCTCCCTGGGCCAGCCACTGCTCCTCAACATCCCCAGGTTCATGCAGCCAGGTAAATATGACCCTAAATATGACCCTGCTATTACTGGTCAAAAGCTGCAGGCTGGCTTTGGCTGCACAATGATCTACAACAGCTACTGCCTAACCTGCATTAATTTCAGCTCTGTGAACAGGACAAATGGCTGGCAGACCTAGGCAGTGTAATTCTAAGAAACAACAGCCTTAAGAACCAGCCAAGGCAGTGGACAGCTTTTGTGCAACTTTCAAATGTTTATTGAGTACCCAGAAAAACCAGTAAAATTAACTCCACAAAAATCCCAAACAGATTGAAGAAGACTTCTCTTCCCCAAGTTTCTGGAGGTTTCATAAATCCACTCCTAGGGGGTTCATTAGAAGAAATTATAGAGTAACCTGCTCTGTACCTGTACACAGCTTTCCTACAGTTAATGTCTTCCCATACTAGAGCTCACAGAGGTATTTCAGTGTGAGAACTTAATTTTTATATATACAGATGATAAATGAATCCATACAATAGCTAGATGCTTAAAAGTTTTAACAAGTATGATCTTATATACTTGCCTTGTTGGACTTTGTAGCTACTTTCATTTCTATTTCATTGCTTTACAAACAGTAATCATTACAGAATATTTTTGTCGTCCCTCCTAACTTCTTCTGATTTATTAGGATAATACTAAATTAAAATATTAAATTAAACAATGTCAAGTTCTAGGTCTGGACTGGGTCTTTCTGAAATGAATTTTATTTTCCCCACAGCAGCCCTCATAGTGTTGTGCTTTGTATGGGTAGGTGGAAAGACACTGATTGCACAACATTGTTTTGGCTTCCGCTAAGAAGTATTGGCACAGCGTCAAAGCTGTCGTTCCAGCATTCCCTCCTCACCAACAGCCTGGAGAAACAAAATCTTGGGAAGCAAAACAGCCAGGACAGATGACCCAAACTTTGTATGGATAGGTAGAAAGACACTGATTGCACAACATTGTTTTGGCTTCGCTAAGCAGTATTGGCACAGCGTCAAAGCTGTTGTTCCAGCATTCCCTCCTCACCAACAGGCTTGGGAAACAAAATCTTGGGAGGCAAAATAGCCAGGACAGATGACCCAAAGTGATCAAAGTGATATTCTATACCATATGACATCTGCTCAGCAATGAAAGCTAGGAGAAAGGAAGGTGTGGAGGGTAATTATTTAATTATGACACTTGTCTTCCAGAGCAACTACTACATGTACCAAAGCCCTACTTCCCAGGAAGTGACTGAACTTCACCTGATGATAAGAAGTAGAGAACAAATATTTTTGGTTTTTTGCTTCCATGTGTGGCCTTTGCTTTTGCTTTATTAAACTGCCTTTATCTTGACTCACCATGATATTTCAATCTTATTTTCTTCCCCTCTGTCCTGTTGAGGAGGGGAGTGATAGAGAAGCTTGGTTGGTACTTTGCATCCAGCCATGGTCAACCCATCACAGAGTGGCTATGAGCTTTGGACAGCTATCCCAGTAATTGTGACAATGAAATTAAATGTTAACACATGAAAAGTAAAACATGGGAAAAAATAACCTTTGCTATATGGAAACAAACAAACAAAAAAAAAAAACAAAACCAAAACCAACACCCTACTGTAGCTAAAAACATAAAGCAAAGAAGTACAAGAACTGGGAGATTCCTACAAGCTCAGGCTCTTGCTCATGGTCCTCACCTGAGTAAGGCTGCAGCCACTCCTGTGCCTGGACATGTATCCCACTGATTTGGACCTCTAGGCTGACTTCCCAGCCTAAACTGAGCCCCACCTGACCATGATGGACTCCTCTGAAGACTGTCCCTAAGCCTTCTCTTTCCTCCATGGGGAGCAGGGTAGGATCTTTGTCCACATGGATTATGCCTTGTCCAGCCTCACTGCCACACTCTCTCTTGGCTTATCTTCCTCATGGGGCAGCCAGCCCCTTCTGCTCTCAAACAAGATTAGTTCACTCAATGTAGGTATCAGATGATATATTTAACACAAACAGAAGGAAATACATTTTAAAAATAAGATCACATTGTAGACCTCAATGCCATAATGCATTGCAAAAATCAAAGATATAAAAACAAGCTACTTAGAAAGAAGCATCTGAGGACAGGAGCATTAGCAGCTATTAATTATGATGATGTATGCTTCACCTCAAACTGCAAAAGGTGCTGAGCACTAACTGCAAGTAAAAGATCACCCATCATCTCCTCACATACCGGGTCCAGTTGATGTCAGAGGAGAACATGAGCCAAGGTGGACGCAGTAAGACCTTTATGAAAGCTCCTATATTTCATGTATCTGTCAGCTGCCATGGAAATAATAATGCAATTTCTCCAACAAGGCAACTCCCTAGGGCATGCATCTGTCAACCAAGAAGTCAAGTTTCAGCCTTCAGAACTTCTTTACCTGCACAAATCTGATCCTGGAAGGTACTGGGAAAATCGTGAATGAAGAAGTGGAATTAATCGTAGATCACACCATCTCTTCTCCCACCTAAGTCCTGGGGATGCTGGCCATGAGGAACATGATAACGTATCCTGAAAAACATTAAAAGGTTCTTCTCAGTTTTGAACTTAATTGTAAGTACTCAGCAGATTTGGAAAGAATGAGATAGATTTCAAAGACTTATAGTTAATTTGGCAGTGTTCCATTTTTCCCAAGTCACTTGTCATTAGTTTTAGTGAGTACTGGAAAGATTCTGAATAGGACCTCTAAATTATTCACAATACAACCATAATTCAGTAGTTTCCTGTGGCTCTCTACACATTTACATACATATCTTTTCTAATGATATCACCTCAAAACATGGTAATTTGGAATGGAATTTAATGTGATGAAAATTGTCAAAATTGTCAAAACTACATGCTGAAGTGATGAATATTTTAATTTTACCTACTTACAGAAGACATTGCTTATATGAAAACTGAACTTTATCATGTTTATGATCATATCTACAAAGAATGAGTATTTACATATCTAGAGTCTAATCTGACCATCATTTTTAAGAATATAGATTTGCATGAGAAATGCTTATAAAAAGTTAAATTATCAACATCTGTTTCTAAAAATACAACATCTTTTTCTTTATAAAATGCTTTATAAAATAGTGCTAACGATGATGTTACTTTTCTGAGAGAGCACGATTCTTCAAAGTGCCTTCTCACAGCTACAAAGGATGAGGAAAAGGCTGTGGTATTTAATGCCTTCTTGACCACAATCTTTAATAGCAAGACCAATTATTTGCCTAGTAGCAAACCTCTGAGCTGGGAGATAGGGACAGAATGAAGCTACCATAATCCAAGGGGAAATGGTCAGTGATCTGCTGCCGCAGTTAGGCACACACAGGTCTACGTGGCCTCATGGGATCCACAGGGGGATAGTGAGGGAGCTGGCACAAGTTCTCAGTGAGTCACTTGCCATTATTTACCAGCAGTCCTGGCTAACCAGTGAAGTCTCAGTTGACACAAAGTTAGCAAATATGATGCCATCTACAGGACAGGCTAGAAGGAGGATTTGGGGAACTACAGCCCTGTCAGCTGGACGTGGGGCAGGTCATGGAGCAGATCATCCTGAGTGCCATCCCACACCATGCACAGGACAAACAGGGAATCAGGCCCAGCCAGCACAGGTTCATGTAAGGCACATCCTGCCTGACCAGCCTGATCTCCATTTATGACCAGGTGACCAATCCAGTGGACAAGGGAAAGGCTGTAGACATTGTCAACCTAGGCTTTACAAAGCCTTTTGCACAGCATTTTCCTAGAGAAACTGGCTGCTCATGGCTTCAGTGGGTGCACAGTTCACTGGGTAAAAAAATGGCTGGATGGAGAGGCCCAGAGAGTGGTGGTGAGTGAAGATACATTCAGTTGGTGGACAGTCATGACTGGTGGTGTCTAGGGTTCAGTGTCAGGGCCAGCACTGTTTCATATTCAATACTGAAGAGGGGATGAAGTGCACCATGAGTTCACACTGTTCACATCAAGTCGGACAGGAGTGCTGATCTGCTAGAGGGAAGGAAGGCTCTGCAGCGGGATCTGGACAGACTGAATCAATGGACTGAGGTCAATTGTATGAGATTCACAAGACAAAGCTCCAGGTCCTGCACTTTTGTCACAACAACCCCAGGCAGCACTACAGGCTGGGGGCAGAGTGACTACAAACTTGCATGATGAGAAAGGACCTGGGGGTGCTGGTCAACAGCAGCTGAACATGAGTCAGTGTGTGCCCAGGTGGCCAAGAAAGCCATCGGCATCCTGATGAGAAAACGTGGGGCCAGCAGGACCAGGCCAGTGACTGTTCCCCTGTATTTGGCACTGGTGAGGGCACACCTTGAGTGCCGTGTTCAGTTCTGTGCCCCTCACTCCAACAAGGACACTGAGGTGCTGCAGCGTGTCCAGAAAAGGGCGACATAGTTGGAAAAGGGTCTGGAGCACAAGTCCTGTGAGAAGGAGCTGGGGGAGCTAAGGTTGTTCAGCCTAGAGAAAGGAAGGCTCGGGGAGACCTTATCACTCTCCACAATCACCTGAAATGATGCTGTAGCCAGCGGGGGGTTAGCTCTTCCCCCAAGTAACAAGTGACAGTATATCAACATATCAGTAAAATTAAACCTGTTGATTTACATTATTTTTAATCTCAAATTTTATATTTTTTTCTTACTGGTATCTTTTTTAATAGAAATATTACCAAAATTAAGTACACCTTCTATTTTCTAGAGTGTGCATTCTGTGTAAGACCTATGGAATTATAAAACTTTAGCAATTTGAACTTTATTTTTGCATATATGTTCATATATCTTTTATGTGTACGAAACAAAATATCATAATAAATGTCATGTTAGCTGAACAGCAAGCTTTTCATAGGTAGTTCACTTATTTGAAACACTGAATTTCTGGTGAGAAATTCTACAGATTCAATAAAAATAAATAAATTATTGGCACGGAAGACTATGCTAGGATGTTGTTTTGAACATCTTGAATTTTTAATGTTTTCTCTCTGTTTCTGGCAACCTTTCTTCACCTGTGATTAAACTTGGGGAAAAGATGAAAAGCAGTAAAAGTTCAGATACAAACTGTAGGCCTAGATATGGCCTAGATAGGCTACAACAAAAATGTTAACCCTACCTTTAGACTGCATAACTCTGTAAAGACCAAAGTCTTGTCTACTCCAAGTTCTGAGTCAAAAGCCTCCTTCAAGTGAATTAAAAAGACTATAAATTAAGAAACAAGACTGTGGCTATACATCACAGAGTCATGGAATGTCTGAGTTGGATGGGACCCACAAGGATCATCAAGTCCAACTCTTGTCCTTGCACAGGACATCCCCAACAATCTCAGAATGCTCCTGAGAGTTTTTTCTTGCCCTCTGTGAAGCTGATGCTGTAACCATTTCCCTGGGGAGCCTGTTGCAGTGTTCCATCCCCTAAGCAAAGAACCTTTTCTTAATATCCAACCTAAACCTCACAGACACAACATTCCCTTGGGTCCTATCACTGGTCACACAGAAGAAAAGATCAGTGTCTGCCTCTCTTCTTCCCCTCTTAAGGAAGTTGCAATGAGGTCCCCCCTCAGCCTCCTCTTGAGGCTGCACAGAACAAGTGCCCTCTTCTCATACAGTTTCTCCTCCAGATCCTTCACCATCTTTGCTGACCTCCTTTGGAGATCTCTAACAGCTTTGTACCTGTTTTACACTATGGCTCCCAGCACTGCCCCCAGCACTCGAGGTGAAGCAGTCCCAGAGCAGAGCAGAGCAGGACAATCCCCTCCCTTGCCTGGCTGGCAATGCTGTGCCTGATGCAACCCAGGACAGGGCTGGCCCTCCTGGCTGCCAGGGCACTGCTGGCTCATGTTCACTTTGCCATTGACCCAGGCCCCCAGGTCCCTTTCTGTGATACTGCTTACCATCTTCTCATTCCCCAGCCTGTCTGTGCATCCAGAGGCTGCCCCTCCCAGGTGCAGAATCCAGCTCTTGCCCTTGTTAAAACTCATAGGTTGATGGCTGCTCAGCCCACAGATTTGACAATGTCTCTCTGTAAAGCCTCTCTGCTTTTGAGAGAATCAAAAGTTCCTCCAAATTTTTGTATCATCTGCAAACTTACTTAGTATCCCTTTGAGTCCTGAACCCAAGTCACTGATCAAAATGTTGATGGACCTAAGATACAGCAGAACCCCACTAGTAACCAGTCACCTAAATTCACTCTGTTTACTGTAACTCTTTGCCTGAACCCAAGTCACTGATCAAAATGTTGATGAGGACTGGGCCTAAGATACAGCAGAACCCCACTAGTGACCAGTCACCTAAATTCACTCTGTTTATGTAACTCTTCAGGTCCAACCATGAGCCAGTTGCTCACTGATCATGTTTATCCAGCTGTCATAATTCCTTCTAGAAAATACTCTGAGAAAAAATGAAGGGCTGTGGCATAAGAGCTGTACATATCTTAGGAATTCATACAAAGGTTTGGTTTTATGAAGAACTCGGTTCCCATGACAAGGGGATATGTCAGAACCACATCTTGGTCTTCACTTGAAAATTTAATTTAGGGTGAATTATAGGCTTGTGATACAAGATTATATTCTTTAAACTGAAAGAAAAACACTTGGTTTCAGTAAATTATTGTCAGTTCAAATAGAAACTACAGCTCATCTAGATCAGTTTTGACACCTGCAAAAAAAGAACTCACAAATGAAAGCATGTTTTTTATCACAAAAGCAAAATTAGAATTGTAGTGGCTAGTTGAAGCAATCAGCTTAAGATCTACTGCCATAGCCTTTTTACATACAGACATACATACCTACGTAAACTCCTGAGACAAGTCTGCTTTTGTTGTTGCTGCACAAGTTACATATATTTTTACTGCACTTTGATATCAATTTTATTGATGTTATCTGTTTATAAACTGTTTATATTTATATTTATTTATCTGTTTATATTCCACTTCCTGCACAATTCTCAAGGGTTTTTGATATCAATTTTATTGATGTTATCTGTTTATAAATTCCACTTCCTGCATAATTCTCAAGGGTTTTCCAGATTATAATTGTGTTTAAATCTGTGGTATTGATATTTAAATCTGTGGGCTGCTATTTAAAACCTTTAATAGAAAAATATGGAAGCACAATAAAACAAGATGGAAATTAGAAGTGGCTGCTCAGTATGGTTTATGTTTCAGGTTTTAAAATATTTTTTTAATTATGATCAATACTTTTATTTTATTTTTCTATTAATTTTTCTATTTTCATCCATCACAAAGCCAAATTCTGAGCAAAAACCTTTAGAACTATATAAAATAAAGGAAAATTTGCATTTTCTGGCTAAGAAAAATTTTTAAAGTCCCTTGTTGCACTTCAAAGGCATCTTTTAGTAAATATCTGATCAGACATCTGTAGCCTTTTATCCCAGAGACACTCTGCTCCATAACGTTATCCCAGTTCAGGTAAGATTTTAAGTACACATTACCAGAAGTAAAACACTCTCACCTTAAAAACAGGCAAAAACATGCACCTAATCATCTTTTGCCAAAAGCTTTAGATAATGCATGCAATATAAGTAATGGAAATATTCTCAAAACCTTTTCTTTCTTTTTTATAAATAGACATATTTTCATTTTAAGAATTTTAATTCCTATGCAGAGAAAAAAATGTAGAAGGAAAAGCTTTTGCAAAATCCCTACTGCCCAAGTAAACAGTAATCACTTGCATCAAGGCACAATCTCAGCTGTAATAATATGTCATATTTAATTCCCAGCCATAATTTCTGGCTACTCTTTTTTCCCTCCTACAGAACTGTCTGTCTCCAGAGTTAGCTAGAGCTCCTCCCTGTTAATGTCCTTTATTAGTGTTTCCACTTAGCTATTATACTATAATTATTCTTCTGTGTAATTCCATCAAGGAGATTGAAGTACCGTGTTGTTGGGGTGGTAGTTGAGATGCAAACCACTGTCACACAGGGGAGAGGATGTGCCACTGCTTTGGTCACTGGGGGCACCTAATACAAGTACAAATTCACAAGAAAATTCTTCGTTAATCTATGATGCCATAAGTCAAATTTGTATATGTACATATACATTCTCCCCAAACGCAAAAAACTTCTGTCATATATAACATTCATTTACTTTCTCCATTCAGCCAGTATCTGCTTTCTGGCTTGAGTGGATTGCCTTTGTAAGCTAAATGGAGGCTCGAGAAAACCTTTCCCAATGCTTTGATTAAAACAAAGTTAATTTCTGCTTGATAAGAAAAAAAAAATCCCACAACATTTACTTAAAATTTGACAATAAAAGGGAAGTGTGTACCTTCTCTGTCGGTTTTTACTGGAAGGAACTTGTCAGATAACCCTTTTGTTACTGTCAGTGGAGTTTACAGTTCTAAAGGTTATTGTAATGGTTTAGGAAATTACAGTGCTACTCCTCAAAAGTGACATGATAAGACCCATGCAAATGCACATTCCTGTGCATCACTCAGGGTACTCTGTGGTACCACAGCCTTTCATAAAAGGGAAGAAGTACTGGGATGCATTTTTATTTAAGAATACAGTGTTCCGATTTTTTTCTTGTTTAATATAAATTTAATACATAGGCAAAAGAAAAAGACAATATTCCATCAAATGTTTGTATAAAATGCTATTTTGTGATTTTAGATTATTTAATTCCTAATAACTTAAAATCAAAGGCTGTAAGTATTGAAATCAAATATTTATTGGTTTTTTTGCTTTAAATTTGAGCAATTTAATTTACTCTCTTAGGGAGCAAAAAGCAGAAGGAAAGCAGAGGTGGCAAAAGGCACAGGCTGATATATAAATATGGTTAGATATGCTGCAATTGTCTATAATTATGCATCCACACTTATAATTTAATATAATTAAAGGAAGACAGCTGTCTCCATATGACTCTCATGGGGCTAGTTCACTAAAACTCAGTTTGGACTAAAACAAAATACTTATCATTCCAGAGTAATTTATTCTTAGGTAGACAGACATCTCCACCAAAGCCTCTGAATTTTAAACAGCAAAGTTCTCTAAATATATACACACAATCCCATTTTCACATTTACAAGACAAAACTCCCTGGGACTAAAATACTAGCTGCTGCTGCCTGAAAAATTGATTTTAAATACTCTGCACCAGAATGCGAGCTATTGCAAACTAATATAATTCGACTGTTTTACCTGCAACTTTACTGCCAAATGTCTGGTTATCTGTTTTTCTATTGTAGATAGCAATTTTTCTCTTGAGGTCAGTGTTAACACAAGCCCTGGGAATAGGAGCAACTCATATTTAGACACTTATGCTGATTGTAAAAGCTGCTGTCAATCACCCCCAATGAACAGTAGTTTCAGAAGCTGCAAGTGTTCATGGGTATTGAATTGAGGGTTCTTTGGTCATGGAATAAAGGCTTACATGCACAATCTTCATTCAGTGGCAGTTTGAGAAAAGCAGGTGCTCTTTTCAGAAAGGACACAGTTAGGGTCACTTCTTCCCCTGCATTGCGAAGGACCTGCACCTGGAAAAGAAATAAAGACAGACACCTTGAAATAAAGTTATGACCAAGATGTATTAGCAAAAGTAAGCAACACTACACAGCTTTCCCATACCAGAATGTAACTGCTTAGGAGTTTATTGCAATTACATTTGTTTGAGAAGAAAGCAAGACATAAAGCTTGCTATGTGCTTGTCTATTGTGTTTCTAGCCAGACACAGTTAGTTAATCAGGTGAGGGGGGCACTACCCTTCTGTATTAGTGCTGGCTTTGACCTGTGCTCTTGCAGACTTTCTCCTTGAAAACATTCAGCTATGTAACTCCTTCTTTCAGGTCTACAATCATCTCCCCCTAGCATGAATATTTTTTTTAAAAAATAAATATTTTCTCTTTGCATATATATTTTCTCTTATCTTATAAATCCTCAACCAAAACAACAGCAGTAGTTTCCACAGCTGTACCATAATCCTGAGCAAGTCTTTCCAACACTCAGAGTTAAATTTAGCTGAGGTGCTCCAGCATGGATGAGAGCCCTAATCTTCATCACAGACACAGAGGAAAAGAACCTATTTTAAGCCTTAAATCTTAGATAAGCACAAGCTTAGGTTTTGCCAAAGGGCAGCCTGCATTTGGAACACAGAATGCACAAAGCACCTATCCAGCTGGGAATACTTTTAGCCTTCCTGTATTCTCCCACTAGTTACCCCTTTGGCTTCTGTTCACCTTCAGCTTTTGTGGGATACAGCTGTAGACACCCCAAACACACAGCAGAGTGAGGAACTCCAGGCACCTCCCAAGAGTAGCAGTAAGGAGGCACAAAAGCAACTAAACCAAATGCTGTATTAAATAGCTGAGGAGGAACATTTGAACTGGCTTATGAGAGGCAAGAAGAACTAGATCTGTTTCAGAGAAAATCCATTTCCTGTTCTGGCTCTGTAACGTCAAAATTCTTCAAGGACTGATTTAATTTGGGTGTACAATGACAGAAGATTGCACCATGCCTCTCTGAGTGACTGTGCTCATACTGTGAAGAGCCAGCTCACAGGCAGCTGAGAGCTGCTGTGAGAGAGAGAGCTGCTACACAGTGAGACATTAGGCAATCATTTTAAACTAGAACATATCTGCTCCCTTTCTCCTGTGTAGCTGGATAACCCACAAGTAACCCTTCTGTCATGCTGCTGCTTGTGAGAAAGCCTTGTAAATAATTGATGAAGCATTGTTATTCTTTAATTATGCTTGTCAATAACATACTCAACAGATATATTTACATGCATGTGTATAACTATACATCGGGATGCTTTCACATGGAATCACTGCATTATGCTGTAACTTAAAGCAATTCTTCAGGAAAAATTGTCAGCTTTGCCTTGGAACACAATATTGCCTACTCCATGCTGGTTGTCACAGAGGAATAACAATATGATGACAGAATATTTGATTCAGTAACTGAAATTTTAGGGTCTTTATTGTTTAAAATAGCACAGCGGTTGCCAATGCACATTTTGCAGTTTAGTATGTATTTACAAGTATGTGTGTAAATAAAGAGAAAAACATCACAACAGATTTAATAACTTATACTGTATGCCAAAAACTTAATCTGTAACACAGAATCATGGAATCGTTTAGGTTGAAACATGAGTCTCTTTGATGAGCAGTTCCCAGGTTTGATGCATTTTCTATCTTAAAATTTGTAAGCAGCGATTATTTCCTAGAAAGATGACTTGTAAGGTGCAGCAAAATGGACCAAGAGTCTGAGGTCCTGAATTCAATGAGAGATACCATCCTATATCCTCAGCCTCCACAAAGAATTAATTATATTCCTCTCTCATGTAGCAGTCACACAGTTCAGAGTAGTCAGAACCAAAGCAGAAACTTAGAGGTATGTACTCTCTATTGTTTCAACAGAGGTGGATAGACAAAGTGCAGGAAAATACAGTTACTCTCTCTGCTGTTAAAAAAAGGTATTTCTTTTTACTCAGGAACAGAGAATAAATAAGTGAAGAAGTTACAGGATTACTAACTTTCATTTATAAAGTCACCTTTTAAGATAAGTGGATATCATCTGTGAAAGAAGCTGAGACAATAACAGCCCTAAATCGTTCTTCCAAAAGTCTACATAATTTCACTTGATAATATATTGCTTTGTAAAGCCTGTAAGAGGACATAAGTAGCCTACTGTGACTTTTACCTCTCACTCAAACCTCTTTATCTCATAGGATGAAAACTTTAAGCTGGAACACATTCCAGTCGAAATCAGCAATACTTATTCAGTGAACTGTATTTTGGAGTGTATGAAGCATATAATCCAGAAAGTGACTAGATTTTGACATGCAGAATAAAGGCTAAAGAGAGATAAAAGATTAAAAGATAAAACTACTAGGTAATGATTGCAACAAAGAGCAGATGACTTATCGATTCCATTTTGCTTACTTTCTAGTCATTAACAAAGCCATTCTGGGAAATAAGGTTAGGTGAAGAAAATGAGCATTTTAATTATTGTGTTTTTCTGGCTTTCAGTTGAAAGCTTTACTGTTATTTTACATTCTTTGTCTTTAATTTACATATGAAATGAAAAACCAAATTACTAAAGATAATGCTAGCCACAAATAACAGTCTGTACCAGTAGTGAATTTAAATTAGGATCTCATTCCCACTGTGTATAAATGGTTAACAAAATTCAATATTACTGAAACATAGATAAGTAAAGAGATTTTCAGTTCATTACTGCTAATGAAGAAGCCATATCTAAACTTGCATAACATAAAATATTTAAGACATTTTGCCATCCTGGTTGATGGCAAGTGGAATATGAGTGCCCACGGCTCCTGGGCACATCTCCAGCTGGTCAAGGGAGGGGATTGTCCTGCTCTGCTCTGCACTGGGGCAGCCTCACCTTGAGTGCTGGGGGCAGTGTAGGGCACCACAGTATAAAAAAGATATCAAGCTATTAGAGAATGTCTAAATGAAAGCCATGAGGATGGTGAGGGTCTGGAGGTGAAACCTTACGAGGTCACATATAATATGACCTCAAATGGATTCAGGTGTGTTCAGCCTGAAAGTGAGGAGAGTGAGGGGAGAACTCACTGTGGTCTTCAACACCCTCAGGACAGGAAGAGGAGGAGCAAGTACTGATCTCTTCATTCCCAGTGACAGGACTCAAGGAAACAGCATGAAACTGAGTCAGGGGAGGTTTAGTTTGTCTATCACTAAAAGGTTTTGCACCCAGACAGTGGCTGAACACTGGAACAGCTTTCCCAGGGAAGTGGTCACAGCACCAAGCCTGACAGAGTACAAGAGGTGTTTGGACAAGACCCTGAGGCACATGGTGTGATTCTTGGGGAGTCTTGCACAGGAGTTGCACTTGATGTTCTTGATGGGTCCCTTCCAACTCAGCATATTCTATGATCCTATGATTTTCCAGCACATGAAAAGATGTAACTGGACCCAACCTATACAAAGTGAACAACAAACTTATTTTTGATGGAATACTAATTTTGATTAAATATAAAAAACATGTTTTCAAAAATTTCAAATCAACAATGCATCAACCTCCTATGATGATTTTTATCATATATGAAGAGTTTGACAAAGGTGAGAAAAATTCCTAGTGCTAAATCCAGGGAATATTCATATGACAAAAATTTAACTTAGCAGTAGACCTAACATTTCCAGTTTCCCACTAGGTTATATATTCCCATTTTATGCCATGGAGAAACTCCCTTCAGAAGAGATCTGGCAATTTCTAAAGCAATGCATCCTAAATTGAAGAAAATTCATGACCACATACCATTAAAAATATTTGCTTATTGTTTGTATCATTGAAAGGCAATGATCTGTTTTATTTTCAGAGGCTATACAGACTATTCAAGACAATCTGTTCAAGACTGTTAAGATAGATTTTTTTGTTAGTGTTTTTGATATATTCTTGAAGCCTTAGATTTTAGGCATATGGATTTACCCAATTATGTCAAGTTTTAATTTTTCTAGTTAAAAATGAATAATAGCAACACTTAATATGTTGATATAGAAGTTGTATGAATTAAATGATGAAAAGATATTTAGTTCTGCTGTTATTACTTTATTTAGCTTTATGTTTTTACTTCAGCTAATGAGTAATACTAGGTATTCATTTGTTGATGCGCAGCATCTAAATCATCCCTGTAACAGGGAAAAGCCATGACACTGAAAAATCTTAACATCTCCTCACTAACATTATGTCTATATATATTAAATTCCTGCTGGTGTTTTAAAAATCATATTATGTATTTGTAATTCAAAATGAGTACATGTGGAAAGAACTACACAAAGAGAAACATTAAATATTGTCAATAAACTTTGTTATGCAAAGTATGACCTTACTACCAGTGGGACCAACAATTAATTTACTGCTATCACAAATAGCCCAATATAAAGTTAGGATGTTTATAAATGAAGTGAGATAGGCAAAAAACCCAGTTGTGCATGTCTGAGAAAGTAGCTGTGGGAAACAGTGACATTAAAAGACTCAGTGTTTCTGGAGCAACAGTGACTATATTTTTATGCAATTACTGTAATGACTGTACGGGGGCTATTTGAAAAAGTAAATTTTATGGTGATGTGTAATATTACTGAAGAAAATATCTACATAGTAACAACACTAATCCAATTTTTTAATAATGTCTACAGTGATACTGCCTTTTAATTTTATAAACCCTTTTAAATTCCCAGTTCAAGAAAACATTTGAGCATATGCTGAAGTCTTTCTCAATATATTCAGGAAAGCAATGAAGCATGAAGTCCCTCTGATTTCTGTAAGTATTCTTTCCTGAATAAGACTGTAAATCCCCTCTCAAATTACAAGTGACATTTACTCACCAATAAAGTGTTAAAGATTTAAAACAGAACACTTATTTAGATCCCAAGATCTGTGTCTCTTGAATTTAAGCAAATTTCACTCCTCAGTTTTTAAAAAAAATTCAGTTTATTGGTGAATACCTTGAACTATACAGATTGGGAAAATAGAAAAAAAAGAAAAGGTAAAAGAC